TCGGCATTACAATCTACATTTCTCACTTTAATCCAAATGAGCAACCAAAAAACAGCAACCAAAACCGGTGCACGAGAGTGCATGGTTAATGGTTGTAAAAACTGAACTGAACTGAACTTCGTCCATTGTCTGTCTTTATGCTCTATTAATGTCGCTCACTCTCACACACTATCGAATCCTTTATCGCATATGCTGTGGTTGTAGTGGAAACCGGTCTCGATTTCCAGTTCTGTCGTGTGTTTTGCTTAATGTTTTTTTTTGGACTACAACATCGTTTCTGCGATTTCGTTTCTTGGTTGCACATCTTCGTCTCGTGCGAAATCACTCGAGCTTCATACCACCATGTACGTTTTCATCAATTCGATCATAACTTTCCGAGCATTTCAAACGTACATCTTTTAATCGGTTACTATGCTACATGTACTGAATCACTAAATGATCAGAACCCAATTTAGACATGGCAGTAGGTAGAGTCCTGGTTAGTAGACTAGTGTACATGCAGATTTGACTTGACATAGGATTTGACTTGTGAGCTAATTGGTATTGGTAATCATTGATCATTGGGTTATTTTTTTCAATTTTTCCCCCGTGTGTTTGTGTATTTGACAGATACTCACTACTCTGACCAGTGCACTGCGAATACCGGTTACATGTAAAATTCGCATCCTTCCAAAGGTGAGTTACAGGGAAAACTCCCTTCGTCAATTTCTTTATAGTACTTTATATCGAGGCTTATCTGTCTATTGGCAGAAGCCTTAGATTCACTCACATTCGCTTGATTTCCACAATCTTGTCTTAGATGAATTCCTTCGAATTTATTGCACTGGTGATTGAACAGCTTAATTCAATTAGAACTTTTATTGAATTCCGTTTCATTGTGCTATCTTTCCCTTTTCAGTTGAAACAGTTTTCGACCACTCATTGTAACCACTCTTTCACTAGCTACTTGTTCCCATCATTATTCACTCTCCTTAAGGTTTCTTTCTGGTTGGCGTTGCAGACACGATTTGTCTGTTTTTTTACTCACAGTCAGTTGGGATGTAACACTTTCGCTCGAATAGATTTCAACATCATCTCACGCCTTACCGTTCTGATTTCTCTATTCATTTGTTGTTTCTACATTACGATTTCTTGTGCAGAATTGTGGTTCCCATTAGACCAAATCGTTTATTTCTACCCAAAACAAAGTTCATACGTTAACTTGAAGACAAATTCTCAATTTTCCCGCGCCCTGACACGGACACCTTTTTCAGGAAAATTGCGGTTCAGAAGGAACGCTGCCTTGTTTGGTCTGCTATGTTTTTACGCTTGCCAGATTCTCTTATTTTGCACGCAGTCGCATTAGTTGACTATGCATTCACTCTGTGTTTCGTGCGTACACCTATTAAATTGGTGCTATCGCTCGTATCCAGCGATTGAAATTCCACACGGCATCATTATGTTGTGTCCATGGANTGTGTTAAGCACTGGTTCGTCCAAGTTCACCAGACGAACAAATAGAATAACGCCACCGGTAACGGATACCCACGATACAATGTCAGTGATAATTGCAAATCGAAGCGGAGCTCTCCGATCGTCTTCCATTTCAAACCCCAGCCCAAGGAATCAATGAACGCTGGAAGTACATCAAGGAAGCTATGCGAAAATCGATGGGAAAAACGGCGGAATCTGGCGCAGGCTCAAAACACAAACGATGAATCTCGTCGACTTCGCCTGTCCTGCTGGACGCCCGCAGAACCCTTCCTCCTGATGCCACATATGACACAGCGGGAAGTGGTGGGTAGGGAAGTGTAGAGAGATGGAGAAAGCTGCAGCTATTGGTAATAGTCGCATTTTTTTCCGTCTAATTTGAAATATGGACCCTAGGAAAATGGGCGTAAGTGAGGTAATTAGGAAATACGATGACACACTGATTCACGATTAGCAACGCCGTCTTGACTTCGGGCTGAACATTTCGAGGCTCAGTTCAACTGGCCGCCATCGACATCTGAACTGTCGCCCCCACCTCGACTAGGCAAATACTGCCATTGATGTCAGTCTTCCATTTGAAATGGAGGTTTCCCGGGCAATAAGCTATCTCAAAAGGTATAAGGCCCCCGGCCCGGATGGGCTGTCCCCACCGATTTTTAAGGATGGAGGTTCAGTCTTGGTTTCGGAGTTAACAAAATTCCTGGGCTCATTGTGGGAGAGGGAAGAGGTTCCAACTGAATGGTGTGAATCGGTCATCATACCGATTTACAAGAGAGGTGACAGGTCCTCTTGTGAAAACCACAGAGAAATTAGTTTAAACAAAATTGTCTCTAAATTTTTAGCTGGGATCTTTCTCCGTCTGTTATCTGCCGCAGATGAAGAATGCAGCAGAGAAGTAGAACCATGCTGGTTTTAGACCTGGTCGAGGTTGTGTTGACTACAGCTTCATCCTTCGCCAAACTCTGGAGCACCGACCTTTTCATGGACAAACCATCTCTGTCTTCCTCGATGTAAAAGCGGCCTTCGACTCAGTCGACTGCTCTAAACTCTGGCGGTACTTTTCTCTGAAGGGTAGACCCGAGGAGTTAATTTCACTAATTCGATCCCCTTACACTAATAGCCGAGTCCGAGCTTGAATGCTGGCGTAGCCAGGTTCGGTATGCGTTTTGCACCTTCAAAGTGTCAAATGTTTCTCCAAGATTGAGTTGATCCTGCACCCAGTCTCACTCTGACTGGGGAAGTAATAGAGCAGGTGGATAAGTTTTGTTATTTGGGCAGCTACATTTCACCCGGTGGACACATCACGGATGAAGTGTCAGCTCGCATATAGGAAGCTCGATTGGCATCTGAAAACACCTGTGGCGCCGTCGTGACATCTGGCTGTCTGTGAAGAGTGGAGAATATGCTCCGGTATTTCGGCCAGTTCTGCTATACCGCGCAGGAACCTCGTCATTAAGAAAACAGGGTAAAGATAAACTTTCAGTGTTTGAACACCGCTGTGTATGCAGCATTGCACGAATCTGCTGGGGCAGCCGGACGAGCAATGGTGAGGTTATGTGCAGAGTTTTAGGTAATCGCAGTCGCACCCTGGAGCAAGTGATCGATCTGAATAGATTACGCTGGTTACGCATATCACCAAATAGGTTGTCACGGCGAGCGATGTTCGTCGAGTTAGGTAGTGGGTGGATTAGAGCCAGGGACAGTCGAACTAAACTAACACGAGGGTATGAAAACCCTAACGAGGGGACTGGGTCACATAGTTCCCGTTAGGCTCCCCGGCTGAGGACCTCGGGATGATGGTAACCGGTGGTTAGTGACACTGAGTGATATGGCTAACTGTCGTAAACAGCTGCGTTCGTACATCTTTTCACTTTTTTCGAAATCTTGGTCCAGTGAAATTCTTCATTTGGTCTTCTGCTCCAGTTTCGAACTTCCTGTCTTTCTCCTACTATTCATCCAAATGGGCAGCCAAAAGATAGCAACCAAAACCGGCGGACGAAGGTGCATGGTTTGCGATTCTACAAAACTGATACTGAGTCATACGTCTCGGTGTAATTTTTCTTCCGAGTTTTTGATTCTGTGTTGTGTCCGTGAGGTCTACTTTGGGCTGTGACTTGAAGTGGCTTAGACAATGTCCCACTTTGTGGCCGCGGAAAACCCTTTCTCCATCCGTGTGTTGTCCCGTGGGTCTTTGTGTTGTGCTTCGATATGTTCTGCCAGAACGCAGAACTTGCTCGATTAATAACTAGCAGCTATCGTTGAGGTGTTAACGAATAGAAAATCTCCTGAACCCCCTGCCTTATCATCCACGGACTGCATTGACCGGTTTAATCAACCGTGGTACGACTAATGACACCCAGTGTGAGGTTAAGTCGTCTGGGGTCTCCGGTCTCAGTTTTGTTTGTTTGGCTGCTGCAGAAAGTGGATCTATTTTTGTGGGGTTTTATGTCACTCAACCTTGAGCTCGCTCAATCAATGAGCCACTACTACTAATATGGTCATCGTTTTTTGTGTGATGCTTAACGCGAAAGCATACGAACTCCATTTTGGTCATGTAAAACATTCTTTCTTTCAACTTGTACCTTTTCACAGAGGTTTACATAAAAACGTCTTTCACTCTCAGTCATGATCATATATAATTGGCTTTTTTTGCATTCCTCAAATACGCCACATTCCGACATTCGTCAAGCTTGAGGATACACTCGAATTGGTCCGTTTGATCGAATCCACCGGGGTGTCTGCAATCACGGTCCACGGTCGTACGATTCAAGAACGCCCACAACACCGAAATCACGATGAGGTGATACGTGAAATAGCCAAAACCGTATCTATTCCCGTGATTGCCAAGTAAGCTTTGATCTGCTTTGTATCTGCTTATAAAGATGCGCTTGCAACTGCATACATTCCACTCAAGCGGATAGCATACTAGGGAACTGCTACTACTACCTGTTCGTTAGAACAGTGAGCAAACAAAACACTATAAAATATTAACATTTCTCATAATTTCATCAATCCGTACAACGTGAAACAACAAATCTCGCAGTTACAGTGGCTCAACTGACCACAGTCAAGGGATCAGGAGCGAGGGGAGTATCAGTCCGATTGGTTGATTGCGTCAGCACAGAAAATAGGATTGCGTAAATTCATGAGTTCCTCTCCCTTATCTGTTATCTGTTGAGCCATTGTTGGTGTCAAAGTGTTCTCGTACAAGTACGACGTTGCGGTTTAGCGACGGAGGAGAAATTAGAGGAAATGTCCACTTTTTACGTTATTTGTATTCGCTCTCTTTCTCTCTGGGCTCTGGCGAATTGAATAAATTGGACCCAATGCTTTAAAAAAAACCACCCAGTCAGAATAATAGTTAGTGTTGTAGCGTTGGGATGGAGGGTACAACCAGACTAGCGTGACATGCAAGGTGCGGCGGAAACGATCACGAACAGAACTTTACAACCCAGCGAACGAGTAAACGATACACAAATACGTTCAATTACGGTAGCCAATGCAAATCCCAGTGGAACCGAAAAGAATACCCCACGAAAGCACTACGATCTCCGAACCCGACCAGGAATAACACGGAAGACAGGGCTTCAGACAAGGTTGTATATATTTGGCTCGACCTTAAAGGCAAAGATAGCAGAAAACTCGTCTGTTTATATCCAGTTTTGGGGACCGATCACCACCAATGACCTTGGGAATCAGCTCGAACGTAGTGTTACGTGAAAAAATGGACCCATGAGGATCAAGTATGACCGGTAGTGTGGTATGAGTGTTTTTGGTGCGAAAGTCCAGAAATTCAAATTTTATTTTTAAAAAATGAATAGAAAAATAGTGCAAAGAAAGAGCAGCGGACACTTTTAGGTTGACAAATTAGGTCTACCTATCAATTGGACAAGAATCCTAAGAGAAATGAGCACTCAGCTGGTGTTCTGCTTTATTGAATCTGATGGTCGTTTCATGTCAATATACCTGCCAGTTACATAAGGCTTTATTTGAACAATGCATTTTTCATAGAGGCGTTGAGAACCTGCCGGCACTGATTTGCAAAGTTTCAACCGGGTAACACAGATGAAGGAGAAAAATATGATAACGGTTAAAATGCATACAACTGTTAGAGTTATCCGTGCTGGCGGAAATTGAAAAAGTCGGCAGAAGAAATCATGTCCTTGAGTCTAGCCAGAGTTATCAGGGATTGGTGGGAACGATTTCCCCTCGTTCGGGTTTAAGACGTGAAAGATGAGAACCATCACGAAAATATTTGTCATTATTTTTGAGGTGTAAAAATCAGTAAAAACAGTCTTAGGCACTGATAAGGGGCCCGTATTTGTCTTTTGGTCTCCCATTTGGATGAAGCAGTAGACAGAGGAGGATTGGAATGTTGAAAGTAGTGTGAAATTGAAAATACAGAGTTCATACAGACTAGGATTGCATTGATGATGAGTAGATGCCCGAGCGACCCTGTTTCCTATATTCAGCCATATTACTCAGTGCCGATACATCAAAACATATCAGTTTTCAGTGGTGTTTGTAGAACCATTAACCATTCATTATCGGTTGCCGGTTTTGGTTGCTGTCTTTTGGCTGCCTTTTTGGATGCACGTTAGGCGAAAGATCGGAAAGTTTGAAAGTAGGATCAAAGAGAAAATTTAGAATTTCAGTGGACTAATGTGGCATCACGCTGAATAACATCGTCATCAGTGTCAGGATTTAACCAACTCTCCTCGAGAAGTGTCACTCTCACCTTCTTGGATTCCTATGAATCGTCGATTGTCAGTGTGCGCAGACGACTGTTACTTGAACTCAAATCATAGGCGGTCACCTTACAAGTGGAATGAAGCCTGAGAGCGAACCGCCATTCAGCATAATTTTCGACTTGTCATCCTTGACCACTATTCCTCAAGTGTTCGAATCGATGGGATCCAGAAAATTCAGAAACTGATTATTAGGTCGCAGTTGGCGGGCACTGCGGATCATCTGCCACATTGTCGTACAGTCTCAGAAGAGGATTGTGGTGTTGGATTTATGTGCTGGTTCGGACGGTGAATGTACTCGGTCGCTCCTCCTTCGTCCGTTCGTTCGTTCATCCATCACTCCCTAGATGTCCTTTGGGCGGGTTGTGTGTGTGTGCTTGCCTGCATTCTGGTCTCGTGCGACGACTGCGCTATGATATCGGTCAGAAGCGTGTTCAGAGAACTAATGCGTTCGGTTTGAAGACCGATGTATGAAGAAAAGTGCCACTTGAACCTTCCAGCTGTCTTCCATATACATATGAACAACAGATTCCAAATGACGCTATCTACCTCGTTAACTCGAATCCGTCTCCGCCTCACAACCTGGTCCAATTTTCGTTGTGCATCAGTTTCAGTTTATACAACCATTAACAATACACCTTCGTGCGCCGGTTTCGGTTGCCGTCTTTTGGCCGCTCGTTTGGATGAATCGTAGAAGAAAGACAAGAGAGTTGAAAATAAAGTTGAATAGAAAATGGAGAATTTCAGTGGATCAAAGTTGCAAAGAAATTGAGAAGTTGTACGAACGCCACTGTTTACGACACAGTCATCACTCAGTGTCTCTAACCGTCAGTTACGATCATCCCGAGGTTCCCAACCAGGGAGCCTAAGGAGACCTATTTGACCCAGTTTCCTGGTTAGAATTTTCATACTCTCATGCCAGGTCTTAGCTTGACCACCCGCTACCTATCTCGGCGAACATCGCTCGCCGTGACAACCTATTTGGCGACATGCGTAACACATGCCCCAACCAACGTAACCTATGAAGGTCGACCATTTGCTCCAGTGGGTGACTGTGATTACCTAAAACTCTGCGCACAATCTCACCATTGCTCATCCGGCTGCCCCACCAGATTCGTGGAATGCTGCGTAGACAGTGGTGTTCAAACACCGACAATCCATCTTTATTCTGTTTCATTAATGGCCAAGTTTCTGCTCCTATATAGCAGAACTGACCGAACTGTCGCAGCATATACTGAACCCCCTACTGATAGCCGTATCTCGCGACGGCGTCACAGTTGTTTCAAGTTGGAAAATGCTTCGTTGTGCATCTTCTCATAGCAATGTTTCCCAGTGTCAAACGGTAATCTGTTTGACCCTTATCCCTATGTATAAACAAATGCTATACAACTTGATTGTGATTGTTTTGTCTGTTTAGCGTTATTGTGTCTCCTATTCCATTCTGATCCTCATTCCTAATGTTACGGTGCACCATGTTGTAGGCTTGGTGCTTATGCGAGCAAGATGGGTGATACAGTACGAGAAACGATCTATCAAAATTCTCTCCGCCGTTGAATAATTTCACCACGAAGTCTCCCAACTGGTATATTGGGACCTTTTGTTGAACGAAAATAAATGACCATGAATCTGGCAATGAGAATTTCACCCTGACTGTTTGCAGATGATGCCAAAATTTGGAATACAGTAACGCAACCAGCGGGCTCGCTAACACTCCAGTGAACGCTGAAAGCAGCTCATCTCTGGTCTCTTCTGAACGGTATTGAATTCAATGGACCAAGGTGCAACACAAAGAGGTGATTTTCATATTTCCTCGGAAATGAACATCTGCCACACGCCTCAAGTGAGAAGGAACTGGGCATCATCATTCAAGAAAACTTAAGCTGCTCACTCAACTGTGCCACTACTTCGAACGCGACTGTAAAGTATGTCGGTTTTCTTAAGCGGGTCTTTGACCGGTTTGAGTCAGCGCTTTCCCCCCGTCTACTGTCAGCATACATTCGCCCGCTCACAGAGTACGCTATCCAGACATGGAATCCATGGCTACAATGTGTTTGCAACAGCATCACGGCGAGACCGCATCTTGACATGGTTTGATGGCTTGTGCACTTCTCTGACCCAGTGCATATGCATTGCGAGTTTGACAGCGATCAGTGAAGTTCGCTTCTCTGTATTTCGCTGTACGACCATGATGATGTGACTACAAAATACAGGAGCGTCCACAAAGGATGGCCACCAAAATGGTTACGGGGTTGAGTCGTTATTCATACACAGTTTGATTGAAGTCGCTGGGGTTATATTCCAATAACTATCAGCGCATCAGAGGAGATATGATTACGGTATAGCAAATAATGCAGAATCCAAGCCATTCGTGTCGCCCACTGCTAAAACTATCACCCAACGTTCATCAGCGCGCCCTTCGATTTACTGCGCTACGTTTGTGTTCACTGTTGCATTGGTTTCTGTCATGTTCTCTCGACGTTCGTATCCCCGGGAATTATTACTACGGTTAAAGAATATTTGTTATTCTATTGTGTTATCCAACTCACATGGTTTTGCCCGAAGTGAATTTTCTGCTGGGAACAAGAAACAAAAGCGTGCCGGGTGGCAGACTGTGCCTGAAAACAATCCTCCCGTGAAGATGACGGTTCCGTCATTAATCACTTTCAACATTCGCTCACTGTTTAGTAAACTGGCTGAACTCACGGATCTACTAACTCATCGCATGCACACAAACACGTGTGTAATATGCATATAGGAATCGTGGCTCAATGAAGGCATAGACGATTCGCTGGTCAATATATCTTGTTTAACAAGTTTTCGACAAGACAGAGAAAGAAGCGAAAAGAAGTCCGGAGGTGATGTAATAACCTACATTAACTCCAGTTGGTGCGGCAAATCCGAAACGTTGTTTGTTTTCTCCTCTTATGGTATTGACTGCCTTACTGTTTCATATCGACCTAGGTTTTCCCGTTATCGGAGCACAATTATTATTACAAATCGATACATTACCCCTTCTTGCCCACAAACCGAAATTTATCCTTTCTACGATGCATTTATTCCTTTCATTGCTCCCTTAGTGGACGATAATTTAATTTTAATTGTTGGTGATTTTAATCGCGGATCAACCCAACCTTTATATGCTTTCGGTCTGTTAGATCTCTCTTTAACGTCCACCAGAGAAAATGCTATTTTGGACAGGCTTATTACCAAACACCTTAATGTCTTCTCTCTCAAACCGATGACGCCAATTTCGTCCACTGACCATTGTCTCCTATGTCTTAGACCAAAAGTTTACTCTCGCTTAGCATACCCCGCTTTTATTCAAGCAAAACAAATGAACATCAAAATTCGGAACCTTTCAGCCGACAGACTCCTCCTCAGAAGCTCTCTTGCTATTATCTCCTTATGGTTTTCCGTTCAACAATCTACCTGTTCTGTTGAACATTTTACGGGAACAGCTAACGTGATTTTCAATCTATGCTGTCCTATGGAGACAGTTTTTGTTCACACTGGCAGAATATGCTCTCTGCGACTGAAAGCTTTCAGAAGACAAAAAGAACTAGCGTTCAAGATACATCAAACAGCCACTGTCAACACAACCTACACTGCAAATCAGGGCAGAGATCAAAAGACTGAATGTTTCATTCGCAAAGCAATTTCTGTGAGCTGGAGATGGAAGACGGCTATGGCAAGAGATAGGATTGCTTTGCGGACAGAAGAAACGGACAACGAACAAAATTATGGACGTGGACAGCCTCAATGCTGCATTCATTTATCCTTGGAATGATCTCCTGTCTCCGTACACCACAGATCACCTATCTACCATAGACCCAGTCACCCATGAGGAGGTCTATCATCTTCCTAAAACTACGAAAACCACGAACTCAGTTGGCCCCGATGGTTTTCCTTCGGCATTGCTCAAATATGGCGCCGGCTCGGTCACAAAGATGTTTACGTCCCTTGTTAACCAATCAATTTACACATGTTCGATTCCAGATTCCTGGAAACCGTTCACCATTGTTCCCATTCCTATATCCTCTTCATCTAGCATTTTATCTAAACGCTTTCGTCTTATCGCCATCACCTCCATCAACAACTTGTTGTCATGGCTAAAAAAATATTTCACAGGACGAAAGCAAAGGGTACTTCTTGAAAACCGTTAGTGGATAATTCTGGAGTTCTTCAGATTGCTATGCTCTCCCCCTACCTATTTTCGACTTTCATCAGTGACTTACCCTCAATCCCACCACCTTCAAGTGTGCCGATGATGTGGTCGTATGTCAAGCCATCTCAAACCAATCGGATAGAGAATCATTTTCTGACAATTTGTTGCAAGTGCAATCATTTTCGAACTAATCCGGTCTCCGACTGAATACATCTAAATGCTTTGAATGCATTTTTAGTCTTTCCCGATCCGAATACCCCATGGATCCCTCAGTCATCAATTCCTTACCTATCACCAGAACACATACCATGAAATACCTAAGAGTTACCATAGATAGCAATCTACGTCGGTCTTCTCATGTGCTTGCGTGTGTTGATAGATTGCGTCGCTTGTCAAATACGCAAACTACGACAATTTCGTGTCAGGCATGAAACTGTGTGTTCCTTTGTTGATCAATACAGTTTCCCAGTCATACTTTATTGTTATTCCCGTTATTTTCTCTGGTCTAATTAGAAAGAACTTCATTACTCTACGTCGCGGTTTGATGATTATCAGCCTTTTTTTTCTTACTCCTTTAAGCATTCTGATCACAAAATTGTGTAATTTGCATATCACTTCATGTGAGAACTTCGTTCAAAACATACTCAATGACCCCAGTCATCCAATCAGTCCCGAGTTATCTGCTTGTCCTTGCCACGCTTCAACCTGATCCAATTTTCGCTGCTTGCCCTCCCGCATAAACATTTACCGCAACTCTGGCTCTGGAACTAGTTTTAACTTTACAAAGATGCACACCTATTCAAGTTTTATCATTGTTTTATATTATTTTTATTTCATTTTTTATCCCACTGTAACTGTGAACACATTTTTGACTGAAATGTGGGCTCAGTCGCCTGCACAAGTCATCTATAATACAATACAATCTTAGTAGATATCCATTCAAACTAGTGGTCTCAAAATGCCGGTGTCAGTCACTTGCAGTCAGAGTGTGTTCAATCTGGAACTCTTTCCCACCCCGGGTCGTCTGTGCGCTAAGAGTTGAATCTCTCAAACGGAGACTTGACGAAACATTAGCAAACCTTGTTTTCAACATAAGTGAAACTGCGTGCAGCAACGAAAAAATCCCGTATCATGTGACATTTTACACAATGAATTGTATGTATCACTGTCTTTTAACCACAACACGAACGTATGGGACGAGAAAAGCATGAGCTTGTATGTTATTCCCATAATAAATCTTTGATCTTTGACGGTTCGTAGTTGGAGTCCCGTCAGATACACATTCTTGAAGAGTTATAGAATGGACGAAACAATCGTCCAGTGCTGTTTGCCAGCAACTACACTCGCATATCGAGTGAGCACCGATTTTCCCGCATTCCTAATGCCCCATGAGCTGATGATCCACATGAATTCTTGTTCCGCGGGTTGGCTCACATAATCTGTCAATTTCAAACTTTGGAGGATTGAAATAATTGGTCGTCATATGCTGTAGTTTTCTGCCCATTTTACTGGTTGTTTTTCATTCGGTTTCAGTGGAAGCCCATCAATCACTCTCTCTCGTCATTCAACCGATTCACATATTTTCCCTTTACTCCATTCTATTCAGTGGTGGTTCAAAAGACACAATAAACAAGTACGAGGATATTGAGTTTTTTCGACAACAAACTGGAGCTTCTGGAGTGATGATCGCGCGTGCCGCCATGTGGTATCCAGCTATATTCCGACCGCTTAGTGACAACGACTCGCCAATCTTGTTACACGACATTATTCGTGAGTATCTTGTTCTGGTACGTTTCCTCCGTGGTTTCGCTTTCATTGTGAGAAGTCTAAGCAAGAATCATGTTCACAGTTCCGCAGTTGATCTCAAGTAGGTTCGAGCGCTGCAATACAGTTTTCCGTCGGAGTTTCGACCGCGCCACGGTAGCTAAGTGCTAGGTTAATGCTGTTGGAGAACGTGATAACCGAATGCTAAAAGGATGCACCGTGCTGTGGATACGCCGCACGACTGAATGCGTGGTACAGTGCGTCCTCCGTTATGCGTTTGTATGAAACTTCGGCAGAATTGACTGGCGTCACTCAATGCAGCTTCTGGTGATAACCGGTCGGTAAACCCCTGCGGACCGGTTCCCACCTGTTTGTTTTTCCTCATAGCGCTTCTAGTACTATCTTGACGTCTGCAGACGTACCGCATCGTTCGGAGATAATCGTCCACACCAAATCAATATATGAACCGCACTACACAAAAAATCTAGGTATCTACATTGTAAACTTTCTTGAAAGGAAAATACTTCCCTTTTGGGATTCCAGGAGAAAAAAACTGTGTTGAAGGATTAGAGGTACGCAGCTTTTGAATGATTCGGTTTCGCTGTTGATAGACAGGAACAGACCGAAGGTTCATAGGTTAATGAAACAACAAATGGATTATTTGAACTAGGGATAATTTGTGACGTTCCTCTTCTTTATGTGAACCGTAAGTCGATCCGTTTGTGCTCGATCCTATGGGACAAGAAAAGCAACCGCTTGTAAGTATTTCCCATCATAAAACTTTAACTTTAACCCCACGGGACACCCACGTTGTTCAACCCCTCAGACGATAAAAGTAACTCTCGTATTCTACACGGGAGTTCGATAGATGACTATATCCCACGAACATTGAGCTATGAATTCGACTACAAAGAGGTGTATGATCGGTAGAAAAACGTATGAAATGCTTGGGATTCGATGACATGCGGCTCGTGTGTAATTGACTGGGTGCACCAAAGCTTTTGCGCCATAAAAAATGGTTTGATTTAGGGGAACCATGTGAATACGAGTGAGGTGGAGTAGGGTGGTATAGGGTGCACCCTGTGTTGCTGGTGGCCCTCGGCACTCATCCTGCTTGTGATTTCTTTTAATACTTCTCGCTCTTCCCTGTCTTTGTGTTGCCAAATTCACCCATTATTATCTGATGCGCTCAAGTACACACACACACACACATCTTATCTGGATTGCTCCGCGTATACGTATTCACATGCATGCACAGCACTATCCCGTTATCATCTCACTCACTGTTTGTGACCTTGAACCTGTTACATGCAATTGGTCACGCTAGGCTATTTGTACCTTATGTTCATGAATGCATGGGTTGTACCAGTCATTGTTACCGTCACTTTTAGTTTACTACAGCTGGCTGCTTGGAAAGGATAAGCCGGTTGCATGATTGTCTCTGATTGCCCCCTTAAGAGACACGATCATGAAGTTACTTGGTAGTTTGGTACGAGAGACGTCCCCAGCGTCACTCGGCGTTTTTTTTCAATTTTGAGGGCACACCTCTATCCTTTGCACAACGAACTGCGAACTACCAGACAGCATGAAGTAATCCCTCGCCTCGGAACTGAGGGGGTCAATGAATTTATTTTTTAAAGGCCAGTCACATCGACTTTTGTCACGGGAGCTAGGTGCCCAGTCGGAAACCCACCACACCCTGGTAGTGTCACCGCTGTTTGTTCGTGACTGCTTATTTGTTGCATTATGCCACAATCTATTCACAGCTAACCTTCTTCGGTTAAGGTATCCCCTTGTCCACAACCCGGGGATATGCCTGATAGAATTCAGCTGTGCTTAACCCGAGGGTATCCAGGTTACCGTCACTTACCACGAGACCGTTTATTGGTTTGCTGGTTACGGTTGTACTCACTTACTTTCTCACAGTTATAGCGTTTTTTTCCTTGTACTTTGTCAGTTCAATTCGCGAAAAGCTTTATAAATTGTCGACAGTTTGTGAACTTGTTCGGCTATTAAAAGACGGAAATTAATTAGATACTGCAGCACAACATAAAGGTTCCGAAGGGAGAGAGTCTAGATTGAGATAGATAACTATTTTCGTACGATTAACCAAGAAACGGGCATGGTGCGGAATGATGCTATATCTGTAGGAGGATGCAAATGCAAAACGGAGCTGATATTTGGAACGTGTCTTCGGGGGTTTGACACTGCTTTCATTATTTTCTAATACAGATCAGGCGTTACCCTGTCAAAAAATTTATCACAGGCGTGGAAATGCTTCGAAACAAAGGTATCAAGCAAAACATTTCTATCAATTTAATTTTATTAGGACAAAGGTTTGAGGGACCTGAAGATTAATATTAAATTTGTTCTAGTCAACCTGGGGGTAATTTTGGGAACTAATATGAAAGGATGCTTGTGATCACAAATTGGGTTATATGAAACTGACAGTGTGCATGAGAGGACAGTACAAAATTTTGCAAATATATTCTTTATTTGTGCAAACCAGGATAGAATCTGGTTAAGAACAGTATTGAGGTATTTCACGAAATCAGATTTGTTATGCGTGGACTAAGGACTACAAGGTTAGGGAAATTATTTACCGATGTCAGGTAATGACGGTCGGTTTTGAGACTAAAGTATAAGAGATCGGGACACAGACTAGTCGTGAAGTTCGGCCAGGTCGTCCCGATGGGGTCAAATTTCTTTCAGTATTGTGCCTTGATAAACTCATTTGGCTTCGAGGCATGTGTCATTTTGTGGGTCGTTGACCGTCACAACCATGGTCGGTTCACTCCATAGACTTAACCGGTAGTAAAATGAATCAATGACTATTGCTTCACTCAATATGCTGTCGGATGAAATCATAAAGCCTACGTATCTTCATTGTAACGGTTAAATATCTCCTCACTTCAGCATAATCAGAACACGTGATCGAACATAAGCATGTGACACCATCGGTCCCTCAAGTTGTACGTTTCTGGTTTACTGCTGCACTACTTTCCTCTTCACCAGAGAACTGCACTCGCATCCTTTCATTCATTCAGGCTATGCGATACGGACATCACATTACGGGAGCGAAATACTGCATCCAACAGATGCTACATCTCGAAGGTGATACTCCACTCTTCCTGGATACACTAGCTGCTGCAGATATGGAACAATTGTGGTGAGTTATTCAACCGTGGTATGGTGATCCCACCACCCCGATCACTGATTACACATTGACCATTTGGAATGAACACTTTTCGGCACAACCAAACCTCATTCTTGGATTGAGCTTTTAGACCTTTCAGATACCTTGTTTACCAGGAATACACTAACGTCCCACTTGTATTAAGATATCTCACCGGAAAAGAAAAACCTCAGTCCGCACTGGTCGCTCTGGTCAAGATTGCTCTGCATTCCGCTACCTTAGTTGTGGCCTGACGTGTCGTGTCGTGACACCTTGGATTTCTGCGGAGTATCTGCTCCTCGATGCACATCGATCAAATGATCCATGAAAATGGCTTCTTCCTCGACGTCCTGTACGTGAGGTGGAGCAATTCAAAGCACATTTTAGCTGAAAACCAGTACCAACTTCTTACACAGCTGTTCCGGCATACGTTTCATGGTCTTTCTCAAAGACCCACCATCCGAGACTGAAATCCGCAATGCATTCCCAGCCTTGGGACGTCATAATACTCCGGGACTCCGATGGCCTTCCCCTGGCTATATTTAAAAATGATGGAATAAAGCTCAGTAGAGAATTGGTGGCTTTGTCCTCTAAAGTCTGGCACACTAAGCAGGTCCCCTACTTGAGGAGGGAATCGGGCGTCGTCCTCGACTTCAAACAGGGTCCACGCAATCACTGAGGCAATCATAAGGATATAAGCCTGATTCCAATAGCGTCAAAGCTGTTGGCATCCGTCACTCTTTGTAGAATGTACAATACGCGTGGGGAGCACGCTGGGTTTCGCGCCGGTCATTGATGCATTTATCAAATCTT